AAGGTGCTTTGTAAAGGCGATGGCAGATGGATTGAGTTGCCTTTTATCTAACCATTTATGGAAGGAAACATCAGTTAACTGTTAGAAGAATAGTTACCACTAGCCTTGTGCAATCTGTTTTGTGTGCTACGAGATTGACCTTTATAGTTTTGTTTGCTTAAGGAAGAATTATCCTGCAGTTCCGGAGCTTGTGAAAACCACACTGAAGTTAGTACCAGAGAATGTTAGCTGAGGCTACAGATAAAGAGAACCCACCGCGCACACACAGGTTACTGGGATCTCACTACAACATCTCAAAGACGGTTGTTTCCTGTGAGCTTGCTTGCTGAAGGGCTACAGCGCTGGTGGCACACTTCTCCAGACTCCCCACACTGTGGCAAGGAACTCCAGAACCGAGGGAAAAGTCCAGCCACCCTAGGCTTTTCTATAGAAAGTACATGCATGATACCGTTTCTGTCAGCACAGAAAACTGACAGTGGTTTGTAATGGGTGATATGCTTTCCAGCGTCGCCCTCTCTCTCTTTTATTGTTGACTTGGGACAAGTGAAAAAATATCCTGAACTGAGAACCATGATTTACATAAACGTACGACCAGGGGGTCGCTCCATAGAAGAGAAAGACAGGAATTCTGAATGAGACCCCCCAAACTGAGAAAATTAGAATTTCATGTGTAATTTCCAATTTGAAGCTGATTGCAACTTATACGAAAATGCGTTGGCTATTTCTTGTAGCGAGAATTTATTAGTTTTTAAAAATATGTCCCTTTTGACTGTGGAAGTCAATTATGTGAGGAAGGCAAAGGAGGCACAAGGGCGGACGAAAGACAAGAGAGCGGGGCAGAGTGAAACAAAGAAAAGAGAGAGAGAGAGACAGCAAAACAAATCACCCGAGAGCCACAGAGGGAGTCACACGAGGACTCACGTGCGAAGGGGCAACCCCCCACCTCTTTTCCAACCCTTCAGCCAGGCGTGTGTCCTTATGCCAACAGTGTGTTTTGTTTTGCTGACTCCAGGCGCCGGGCACCGTCCTCAGTGCAGTCTTGTTCGGTACCACCCCGATGCAGAAAAGGCTGATTCTATCTACATCAGAAAGGCACCCTAAAAACCCCCAGTTTTGTTTCATTGTCAGGCCTCAAAAGCTATTCAATATAGATGTTTTTCAACTTCTTGATAAACAGAAAGACAAAAGGGGAAGGAGTCGCGTAATTCGGAAGATGTCTTTGGAAGTTAAAAAAAAACTTATAAACGAATCATCATTGAACAGATCGAAGCTACCTTCCGCCCTCCTGTATAAACAGCACCGGCTAGAGCTTCGGGCCCAGCTGCAGCCAGCAAGCGACCACCCGGCAGCGTCTGTATTTGAGGCAGTTGTAAAATCAGTCCGAAAAGAAACCGCAGAGACAGAAAGAGTAAACCCGATCTTGTCAGGACCTGCTAGGTCTTCCCCAGAGGAACCTGCCGAACTTGATTATTCACTTTTTGAGTCTGAAGCCCTGCAGGTCTGCAGGAGACAACCCGGTCGAAAATGAAACCCGACGCTTGGTGTTCAGACCCTTTTTTTTCTTTAAAAAACAGAAAGAAAGCAGAGGGACACTTACCAAGGTCACAAACTTCAACTCCTTGGCCGCCACACCTGGCTCCAACCAGCAAGAGAGCAGAATGGAGATGCTCAGGCCCAGGCTGGCTGCCCTGGCCAAGAGGAGCGGGCCAGCTCTCATGGTGGGGAGAGCTGCTTTGGACCGGAGTGAGGATGGATGTGCTCCTTCCAGTGGAAAAGACTTTTGAAGGGAAGACTCCTGAAGGGATGGAAAGGGAAGGAGGAGCCAGACTCATGAATAGTCAAATTTTCCAGGAAGTTTGGGGCGGGGTTTGGTATGCATCTGGTCACATAATGGTTGAGCTGCGAGATTGCAATCACCTTTATTTCAGTGCAGAGGACACCGAGTCCCAGGGCTTTTTGTTGCTTAAGCTCACACCCACGGCACCAAGCATCAGGACTGAGAGCCAAAGGGCAACAACTTATCCAAAGCAGAGATGAGAAGAGGCATCCTGGGAAGGGAACAAGCCAGGTCTGAGACAGAAGAGAGAATGGTGACACCCCGTGAGACGCGGGAGGCCACCGGACAACGACCGTGTGTGGCACTTGCCCCCAGGAACCTCACTTACAGTATAGACTTTCACCCAAAGGGAACAGCCACTAAACCAGGGCGCCGTCAGAAACTCACAGTCCATAGACATTCCCGTCTTTCTTTCTGGTTGAAGG